CTTTGCATCCTGAAATTATGTTATAATAGTATTTTTTTGTAGATTTCCTGGAATTTTCTCTATGTAAGATCATGTTTTCTGCAAATAGATATAGGTTTACTTCTTTCTCACCTATCTTATGCCTTTATTTCTTTTTCTTGGCTAACTGCCCTGGCAAGGACCTCCATTACAATGTTAAATACGGTGGTGAAAATGAACAGCATTGTTTTGTTTCTGTTTTTATGGAGAAAACATTTGGTCTTTGACCATTAATTATGATGTAAGCTGTTGGTTTTCTGTTGATGTCTTTGTGGGGTTTAGAAAGATTCCTTGTATTCCTAGTTTTTTGATTGTTTTTATCAAGAAGTTTGTTAGATTTTTGTTAAATGCTTTTTTTGTGTCTATTAAGATGATCATGCATTTTTGTCCTTTAGTAATATAATCCATTACATTGATTGGTTTTCAGATGTTAAACCTTGCATTACTGGAAAAATCTTACCTGATCATGGAATAATCAATTTTATATTACTGGATTTAGTTTGTTAGTGTTTTTGTTGAGTATTTTTGCATGTGTATTCATAACAGATTTTGGTTTATAGGTTTCTTTCCATCTCATTTCTTTGTCTGGTTTTGGTATTATGCTAATATTGTCCTCATAGTATGAGTTGGGGGGTGGTGCCTAGCCACTTTTTCAAAGAATTTGTGAAAGATTAGTACTAATTCTTCTTTAAACATTTGTTACAATTAACCAGTGAAGCCATCTGAGCATGGAACTATCTTTGTGGAAAATTATTAAATTAGTACTTCAATATCTTTATTTGTTAAAGATCTATTTAGATTTTCTATTTATTCTTTAGTCAATTTTTGTAATTTGTGCCTTTCAAGGGACTTGTCTATTTCATGAGGGCTATTCAATTTCTTGGCACACAGTTGTTTTCAGTATCTCCTATAATTATTTTTATTTCTGTAAGGTTGATAATGTACTCCTTTTAATTCCTAATTTAGTATTTGAGTCTTTTCTCTCTCTCTCTCTCTCTCTCTCTCTTTTCTTGGCCAATCTAGCCAAAGGTTTGCCAATTTGTTGACTTTAAAAATATAAATGTTTGGCTTTGTTGAGTATCTCTATTGTTTTGCTATTGCCTGTTTTATTTATTTCCACTCTGATGTTTCTTATTTCTTTTGTTTTACAGGGGTTTGGTTTAGTTTAGTCTTTTTTTTCCAGTTTTCTAAGGTAGAATATTAAGTTACTGCTTTTTTCTTTTTCTTCTTTTTTAGTGTTGTAATTATAGCTATACATTTTCCACTGAGCACTACTTTTGTTGCATCTCATAAGTTTTGGTATGTTGCATTTTTGTTTTCATATATCTCAAAATATTTTATAACTTCTCTTGTGATTTCTTCTTAGAGCTATTATTTAGGAATGTGTTAATTTCTGCAAATCACAAATTTGTAAATTTTCCTCTGTTATTGCTTTTTAAATAATTTTATTCCATGGTTATTGGAGAATAAATATGAATGATTTCAATCTTTTAAAACTTATTGATGCATATTTTATGCTTATCATATTGTCAATCCTGCATAATGTTCCAGGTGCACTTGAGAAGATTGTATTCTGCTAATTTGGATGGAGTGTACTATAGCTAGTCCATACTTTTCTTTTTTTTAAATTTAATGTCTTGTCATTTTTTGTTGAAAACTAGAATTTTAAATATTATTATGTGGCAAATCTATAAATAAGGTTTCCCCTTCCTTTTCATGGTTTGTTACACTGTTTGTTGTTGTTGTTTTTGTTTAGTGACTTTCCTAAACTAATTCGTATTCTTTGTTATGTGCAATCACTGAAGTCTCGATTCACTTTATTGATGGGCTAATGATAGGACACAAATTTCTTTAAATTCCTTGAACCAGTAAGTCTTGCTCGCTTTGCTGAGGGCCCTGTGCCCGTGCTGGGTCACGCCTTTACATTCCAGCAGAGTGCAAATCACTTATTTAAATACTTTTAAATATTTCATCTAACATATCTACTGTTCTTTTTGGCGATGTCTCTTCATTATTTTTAAGTGTTTGATCAGGGGATAAAATATACATGTCTAACATCACAATCATCTTCAAGTTATTATTTTACCCCATCAAGTGCAACATAGAAGACTAGTAACCAAATAGAATCATTTAGCCTCTCCTTATCTTATAGTTGCCATGTGTGTTGCTTCCATATATTGAACTCTCCCCAGACAAGGTTAGAATTTTTGTTTTCTAAAGTCATACATATTTTATAAATTTGTGGCAGTAGGAAAATATTCTATAGCGTTGACCTAGATATTTACTATTTCTGTTGCTGTTCCTTCACACCCAGAGTTTGCCATCTTATTTCCCTTAAATTATACTGTTAAATTTCCAACTTAAGAACATATTATCTGTTAGATAACAACATGAGAAAAATACTAGAACACCCCTGCTAAAACATACCTTAGCCATTACCAAGACTATAAATTTAAAATCTGACATCAGGATATTTAAATAAATATTCATCAATAGGCATTCACAAATATTTTCTATTTTTAATATTTTCTAAAAATAAAATCATCTCAAAACTTATTTTCTGTTAATATTATTAAATAAAGAAAAAGTAAAGACTTTGATTGTTTTGGTTTGAGATTAGTTTTCTTTTTTAAGTGTCTGTATCTAAATCATCTTGACAATCACCTGGTGTCAACAGGTGGCAAGTGCATGCCTTCCTGAGTTCCAGTTGTCTGTGGTACCCCACAGAGAAGCACAGAGAAAGGAAGTATTTGGGTAGGTGGATCTCTCTGAGTGGTCAAAGGGTCATTAGGCTCAAAAGCAGAAATTCTAGCATCGGCCAACTTTGGGTCAAGAATTTTAAAATCAAATCACAGGGAGTAGAAAGAAGGTCTGAAATAGGACCACAGATCAGTTGATTCACTATGAGAACCTAACATAAAAAGCTAAGAGAATAAGAACTGTAATTAAGCCAGAGTTTTTCTTTCTTTTTCTCCTAAATTTTTCCCAGATTTGTTTACTTCTCTTCCTTTCTCTCCTCTCGAATCACACTCTTTTACAATATTCCATAAGTTAATAAACAAAATATTGTCAGGAAGGAGGGACATTGGACAAGGAAATAGTGGCCCCAAATTCTTGTCATTTCTTTGACATTAACTCATTAACTGGCTCTGTGATGTGAGCAGTTTTGTGCCTCAGTTTCATTTTGGTTCTGATCTGTACCTACGACTACTATAGCTGTATCTATATCTACCTATAGCTACTATACCTACATCTATATCCATATGTAATAAGCACTCATACATGTGTGTCTATATACACATGCACACACACATATGTATGTATATATACATAATATATTTAATCACACATATATCTGCTGTAAACATATTCATTCAGTATCTGACTCTTGGCTACATTATGATCAACAATTCTGAGTAGGTATATTGATCTCTTTCAACCCAAGGAGACAAAAATGAGAGAGCATAGTAAAGTTATTAGTCAAAAAATAGAATTTAGAATTAGATGTTCTAGCTGGGTTCTTGTGAAGGATTTGGCCATTTTTATAGTATTTATTAAAAATACGAAATTATATGATCTGAGAGCCCCATAAAGCTGCAGCTGTTATAATTTCACAGCTCATGATGGCTACTAATTTCAAAATTCCAAAGTGCTTTAGGGAACCCTCCCCAGAACGGAATCAAACATAATAGCTGCACAGGGGCCTGCTTGATGCTAACAAAATGACCTAGAAAATTGAGTCAATTAACAGGCTAATTCAGGATAGATTTTCTCACAGTGTATACAATATGAAAATCAGTTTTACAGGGCTATGTAAACTGTGGAATTGGTGGTATATCAAACTGTCCCGCAGCAAGCATGTGAAACAAGAGGTCAGAACCTCACACTTAGAGGAAAATGTATGGTTGTCGGGCACTCACATCCAATACCTGAACCAGGTTGGTACCTTTAGCAGCTGCTCGCTGCTCAGAGAAAACACTCCTGCCCTATCAAAGTCCTGCTCTCTTTGCAGATCAATCAATGTCTCTTCCAATCTCTCCCTGATTGCAGCCTAGGTGACAGCCCCTTCACTTTGAATTTGATTAATTCTTGTGCTTAACTTGTCAGACCTTTGATCCTACTTGAAGCTGTAGATGGGTTGGCCCTACTCGGTCTTTGGTCTTTGTCCTCAGACCCCAGCCTGAGCCAGACATGCAGCCCTCTTATACTCTGAAAATAGCATTCAGGTATCTTGCAGCTACTTTGAGCTTTTCTGCAACTGGAAGAATGGCATCATTTTGTTGTTTCCATTTTATAAACAGAGAATCTGAAGTTGACAAAAGTCACGTGCTAATCTTAAATTTAGGCCTCCCAAATCTCAGCACAGCACATTATACCTAACGTAACACTACCTCCTGTTATGGCCCTGAGTGAGGAGTTCTTGGCCATCACAGCCCTTCTCTGGCTGGGTCCCTACAAAATTTAATATAGGGTCATTCTAGCACATGATGTTTTAACATCTGTATTCTAGATATTTTATCTGGATGTGAAATTCAGACTCAGACAGTATTATTCACTTCATTTTCATTTACAACACATTTATTTTGATTAAACTGTTCTCTTTTGGTAAGCCAGAGGATGCACACTAAACAAAAGAAGTGGGGAAAATGACAACAGAACATGTATTTGCAAGCATGAGAACATAATGGTGTTATCATGAATTGTGGAATAGTTGAGAATTCTGTAAGGACATATGGACGAAATGGCAAACTTAAAATACATGTGAAAGGAAAAATAACTTGTATTCCACATATTTGTTTAATCTCCAATTGAACGGAATAAAGTTCCACGCTTCACCATTAAATGTCAACACATTTTCATGGTACTTTTCCAAAATTTCCTTGGGTCTCATAGGAAGCATTTATTTAATATGATAATGTAAAAAAAGTGAAAAGATGTATATAGCATTTTAAAATATTTTATTTTTCTTTTGGCCTCATAATAACATAACATAATAGCCTTATTATGTTAATATTTAATTTCTATAAAAAGATAGAATATGTGTATTGAGTGCAATTATAGCTTAACTTACTAAAAATACTGAAATTGGTATCAATAATTATAAGATTAGAATCTACATCTCTTAACATGTATGTCCTTGCTGTCTCTTCTAGGCTGTTCTTAACTTCTCTTATTTATCAAATGTTATATGTGATGCCCTTGTCCTTGTGTTATCTATTAACACATTAACACTGATTAGCCTCTGTCACTCTTGAGTTACTTAATAATCTTATTAAAAAGTTTTAACTTGAAAATAAGCAAAAAGAATGGCTAAGTACCCTTTCAATGTCATAGCAGAGCTCTGTCAAACAGGCCTACCTGAGGTTTATTGAATTCTATCATTTGATGTATTAATTTAGTATTGATTGTTGTATAGAATCTGTGAAAATACATGTTAATGTGAAGAGTTTTTTTTTGTCTAAGAGACATGTGAGATATTTCTATTTGATAGAAAAGATAAGCCCAAAGGTGATGATTTTATTGTTTTGTAGTCCATTGGCAGTGTTGTATCTCATGGTTGCTGATTAAACATGGCCAAAAATTCCTGACACAACTCCCACTGAGAGGTAGGCCCTATATCCTCTCCCCTGGAATTCAGATTGGCTCTGTGACTGCTTTGCCCCATGGAATGCTGTGAAGGTGAACCTGTGCCAGTTTTTAAGAGTAGGCATTAGGAGAATGGGAATTTTCTCTTGCTGTTCTTTGGAACACCTACACAGGTGACCTATGCATCACCAGATGCACAAAAGGAGCCCCAGAAGCCCTGTGGAGAGGCTCATTTGCAAGGAGAATCGAAGTCCTTGGACAAAAGCCTCAGTGGAGCACCCAGTCGATAGCCAGCACCACTTTGCATGCCATTTGGGTGATCCGGCTTGGATGTGGGATCTGCTAGCCTCAGTTCAGCCATCCCACTGATGCTGTGTGAAGTGGAGTGTCGCCTTCTGTGTAAGCCCTTTCTATAGTCCTAATCCATAAAACTGTGAGGAAAAAAAAATTCTGTTTTAAGTCAGTGGATTTGCAGTTGTTATGCAGCCTTAGATAATCAAAACAGAATTTGGTACCAGAAGTGGGGTGCCTCTGTAATGAAAAGAAATGAAACAGAGTGAAAGAGGTTGCACAGGTTTTAGGATTAGGTGGTGGGCAAAAGATGGAAGAGCTTTGAGGAGATTGTGGTGAGGGCAAGAAGGACTGTGTGGAAATTTCTACTAGATTCTGGAGAAAAGCCAATTCTTATTATTCGGTGGTGGAAAGTTAAGCAGCATTGCCACCTTTGATAGCATAAAAAATAGAAAATATACCTGATACACTAAAATATTTGCCTCAGGAGAGTTCTAGGAAAAATGTTAAATATGTCAAAGCATTTCTCTTAGATTCATATAATAAGGAATAAGTATTAAAAAAGAGTGAGAAAAAGCTCTTTAATCGGAAGCAAAAACTTAGAGGACAGATGAAGGAGACAAATCTTGCTAGGTTCAAACTAAAATCTCTCAGGAAATGATCTAAATCTCTCAAGACAGTGAAAGACTTTCAGAGTGAGAAATTCCTTTATAGTAAATATCAAATCCAGGTGCTACTGGTAAATCACGACCACAGGGTGAAACTCTCAAGAGTGTGGTTGCAAGACCCTTTGATGAGCTTATAAGGATTTCAAGGCATGCCTGGCACGGGTTCTAGAATGTTAATGGCCTGTCTCATAGACCATGCTGCTACTCAGAAAGGCAATTTGCTCTTCCTGCTCAAAATGCTTCCTTCAAATCCTGTGAAGCTTGGACTTACAGAATTCCTTACTCACCCTCACATTACTCCATACAGCCTTGCTTCTGACCAAGGGGCAGCTTTTAGGGAAAAAAATTGTTCCAATGTGCTCGTGCTCATGAAGTTCAATAGCATTTACATGTTACCCATCATCCGGAAGCAGCTGGTCGGATAGGAAGGTGGGATGACTGTTTCAAGATTATTATGGTGCTATCTGGGTGACAACACCTTGTAGAACTGGGATAATATTCTTCAGGATATAAAGAATACTTTAAATCAATGACATATGTATTATTACTTTTTCTTTCCAAAGCCAGAATTCATGTGTCCAGGATTTAAGGGGTGGAAATGAGAGTGATTTAGCTCACCATTATTCCTAGTGATTCACTGGTGAGATTTTTGTTTATTTTTCCTGCGGTGGTGGGGATCTTCTGGCCCCCAAAAGAGATATGACTCCATTGAAAACACTGTGATGTTTCCATTAACCTAGGATTTAAAATAGGGTTTTATTTGCTCAGGCTGCCATTAAAAACACCACAGACTAACTAGCCTAAACAATAGGCATGTTAGTCCAAGATCAGGTGCTGGCTGATTCAGTTTCTTTTCTTGAAGGGTTGCTTCTGGACTTGCAAGATGGCTGCATCCTCACGGAGTCCTAATAGGTAGAAAGATCTGGTATGTCTTCTTCTAAGGACACTGATTGTATCAGATCGGGGCTCCACCCTTATGATGTCATTTAAACTTAATCATTTCCTTACTCCAAATACAGCCACACTAGGGGTTAGCATATCAATATATGAACTGGGGACACAATTAAGTCCATGGCAACTGGCCACGTTGGGCTTCTCATGCCAGTGAGTCAGCCAGCAAAGCAGAGTGTTACTCTGCTGGCTCAGGTGGTCTGGGAAAGGTGGCATTAACATCCAATGAGGATAAGCAGATGTCTGTTCGAAATGCAAGAAATCACCTGGGGTGCTTCTAAGTGCTTCCATGCCCTGTAATAATGGTCAATAAAAAGCTACAATTCCATTTAGGCATGGCTGCTAGTGGTTTAGATTCTTCTGAAATGAAGGAATGGGCCACTCTACCAGGCAAGGAGCCACAGGCAGCCGAGGAGCTTGCTAGGGGAAGAGAGAATGTGAAATGAGTAGTGGAAGATAAGTGATACTTATCATCTATGATCATGTGACCAGTGGCAGAAAGGAAGATTGTAATGGTGTTGAATATTTTTCCTTATTTTGATGTTTATATATATATTATATATATATATCAAGTCTTTTTCCTCCTTTCTTCCATTTCTATACAACCTAAAATAAGATATATAATAATGATTAACTTTATATCTCTGTATTTAAGCTATAGAATACCAGTGAGAGGTTGAGGGGATTTATCCAGCAGAATGGACTTTCACCTAGAGGGACTTCATATCCCATTTTTGGAGAGGGTTAAGAGGTATTTGGTTGTATGTAGAGAAATTGCATCATGTTAAATGAAAAGCATGACTTTTGTGGTCATTATTCATGGTATCAACTTATTAACTGGAAAAGATACCTGCCAATTATGGCAAGGTGTATGAGGGCAGATTCGGCCCACTGCCTGTATTTATAAATAAAGTTTTATTGGAACACAGCCATACACATTCATTTGTCTGCTGTCTATGGCAGCTCATGCTCCAGAATGGCAAAGCTGAGTAATTGTGGCAGAGACCATAAGCCCTGCAAAGCCTAACATATCTAACATTTCCCAGTGTTCTATTCCCTATAATGGTGCTGATTTATAGTTGGCCACAGAGAAATATCAGCAAGATTTGGAAGGTTAATAAAGCAAGGGTGTGTGCTCTGAAGGACAGTATGGGGCTGCGTGTGCCGTCTCCTATCTGCTGGCTCACCTCCTGGATAGGTGGCAGCTGTGCCTCCTCCAGCTCCTTGGGGTGGGATCCTTTGGCTTCTTCTTCAAGCCCAGGGCAAGGTGGATGTGTAGGTCTATGAAGCAGGGGCTAGCTGGTTCTGTAAGTCCCCCTTCTTGGAGGCGGTGAGATACAGAGACAGGCCTAGGTTCAGTCTGTGCTCAGAAGTCCTGGCCAGTCCTTGCTCTTTCACGTTTTTCCTCCAAATTTCCTTCCCAACTCCTAGAAGAGATTTTAGGCCCCACCTACTGACTGAGAGGCAGTAGCCTTATTCACCATCAACCCAAATTGCATTCGGTCCTTATACATTTTGTTCCCAGGGTCTCTGCTCTCCTGCATGGACAGAACTCCCTCATTTGGTGACCCATCCCACCATTCTTTGTGCAATATCTATACATGTTCAGCTATAAAATGCTTTGTGAACCAACTTCACCATCCTGTGGATTTCCCTCATTAATGAGTCAAATATATCTTTGACATGTTTATTACACAATATACATATATCAGGGTCATGATTGCAGTGATTTATGAAAATTACCCTCCAACATGTCTAGGTCCTTTTCTCATGCTGGTGTTCACATTGTCTATTCACAGACATGCACATAAACTTTTTACTGCCTTTTAACAAACTAGGAAGGCTTTTTTTTCTTTCTTTGTCTGGCTGAATTGTGGATAAAAATAGCTATGAAGCAGGCAAGTTCATTTCCCGAAAACCTACCCATCTGTCAGGAATGCTAAATAACTCCCTGAGTTCTCTTTTTAGTTCTCCTTTAATACAGATACAGGCCTGGTGCATGTTAAATGTTTTACTGAATGACTTGTTTAATTTTCCTCAAGAAGTCCTCAAGAAAGATTAACAATTGCATGGCCAAGAGGATTTTTTTGTTTGTTTGTTTTTTAGTGCATCTTGCCTGGTGTTCTGAAAAGTCCAAAAGTATTGAGGAGGAGAGCGGACAGTCCTGACCACAGTGGGATTCCATAAGCAACCAGGAACCATGGAATAAAAACACTCGCAGTGAGTAAGCTTTGGAGATCCCACTCTGGGTGGCACAAATTATCCCATCTATTTTAAGTATGATGCAGTCAACACCTGCTTGATTGTTCAAATTTACTTTTCCATATGTCCCATTTCTCTGTTGCTGTATAACAAACCCCCAGAATTTAGTCGCTTGGCTTAGATTCTTCTGTTTACTATGTTGCTCTTCTCTCTCTTGGTGCCACCAGGCTGACTAGGGGACATTCATCTGGCAGCAGGGCTGGGCTGGAGGGATCAGAGACCTTCACCCATTTTTCTGGCGAGCCTTGGCAGGGATGCCCAAAAAGCTGGAGCCAGCTGCATCCTCCTACTTGGTTCTTCCCATGTTGCCTCCAGCAGGGAGGTCAGATTTCTGACACGGAGCTCAGAATTCCAGAACACAGTGTTGGAAGTCGGCAGTGACATCATTTTGCTTCTGCCAACCTGAGTCAGGGTGGGGAAGCTGACCCCACATCGCCTTGGGGGGCGGGGCAAAGGGCGTGCAGCATCGTGAACCCACCACTTCACCTTCTCTAGTTCTAGGGCCGTGGCATTATTAAGGTCGTAGTTAGGAAAACCTTTGGCTGCAAAACAGTGCATGGGGCAAGCAAAGGGACTTTTCTCTGTGGAGTCTACAATTCCTGAATGGCTACTGCTTTCATGTATCTTAACTAATACTACTTTTTATGATCCTTGTGATTTTAGAGTGTTTAAAGGATATGTAAAATTTCAAATACCAAATAAGTAAGCAGGCATTATTTCTGGGTCAGTGCTTCCTCTTTCCAAAGATGATTATTTTAATTGATCTCTAAGAATCTTGCACCAGTGGAATTATTACATTTCTAAGGCTGTCCAACACAAAAGCGAAAGCAACACAGGTGCATATTGATATGCATGTTTGTAATACAAATGACATTTATTAAACACCCAAATAATTTGGGACATCATGAAATAGATAATATTATCTGCATATTAAAAATGAGGAAATAAGATATAAAAATATTAAGAAATCCATCCAAGTTTAAAAATACAAAAAAGAGTAAAATTAGAATTTGAATCCATGTTACAGGGTGCCAAATATCCAGCATTTTATCCCTAAGCTGTGTAGTTAATTTTTAAAGTGCATAGTTTAGAATTAAAATAATATAGCTGTTAAAATGGCAGCAAAAAATATGACCATAGGCCTGTGTTTATGCTTCCAACAAAAGACTTGACATATTGATGTACCAATTCCATGGGGAAAAAAAAATAAGATAATTTGCAAGGTAATTAGTAGACAAATTCATTAATACATACCTTAGATGCCCAAATTATATAAAAGTATTAAAACTGTCAGGTATACATTGTCTGTTTTAGACATGTGGATACCTTAAGTACACGTATCCTAAGATCTTTCTAGATATTAATTGAAACCTCATGGGATTGAGTCAACCGAGTGGAAGATGCCTAACCTGATACAGCCGACTCATTAATTCCTCTGTCACTGTCTCTACGGCTCTCACAGCAGTTAGGGTACTTTTAGAACTGAAGCTACAGGCTGTCTTCCCTGTGCTGAGACCCTGCAGTGACTGCACATCAACTTGGATCAAAACCAGGCACGATTAGAATTGTCTGCACCTGCACAGCTCCCACCCTCAGTTCCAGCCTTACCTCACCTTGTTTCTCCCTCTTTAGGGCAGACACTTCCTCTCCCTGCTCCCTCTGCCTGGAGAGTTTCTCCCCTAGAAGTCTCTGTGGCTAACTTCCCACCTCAGATCTTTGCTCTAACATCCCATCTCAGATGCAGCCCACCTGGACTAACTGAAATGTGACAATATTCCCAATCTCTGCCTAAACCCCTGGACCCCATCCCATTGCCCACAGCTTTCCTGGTTTCCTCCCCTTCTCCTTCTTTTCCTCTTATTATAGCATTTTTACCCCTTATTGTTTCTTTTCTATCTTCTCCATTAGAATATAAGCTCTAGCTGGTGCAAGTTTTTCTTTTGTTCTTTGGTGTACCCCAAGTGTTAGAATAGTGCTCAGTAATAGTAGGCAGTCAAGAATTATTTGTTAAATAAATGAAATAAATTTGTAAGTAGTCATGCTCTATGATACCTGGACATTTAAAGATGAGCCAGCCTAACCAGAGAAATACATTATGGTTCGAATTGTAGTTTTGTTCCAGTTTAATGTGTATGTGTGTTTTAATATAAAATAAGTGAAATTGTTTCTATGGATTCTGAATCTCCAACATTTGTGAGTTTTCCACAGTGAAATCAAAGCTGATGCTTAATGTATGGAAAGCAAAGCCTGTAAGCACCTAAACCTAATGTGTTAGTGCACGTTGGAAAAAAAATGGTACTTTTTACTCTAGAAAACAATGGCAAATTTTATAGCGCATTGTTTCTGAATTTTGAAATAAAAGCAGATTCGTTCATGTTTCTATAATAATTTGAATAACTGAACAAGTGTCTCATAATACATCAATTATTATGCCTGACAGCACTGGAAGATACTCAACGTGGACCATCTGGTTTAGGACTGTGGACCGCGGTATATAACTCTCTCCTTTGTATGCAGGATTCAAAAAGCCAGCAGTCCTGCCCAGGTGTCCAGAGCATCTACTAAGATTGCTAGTCTTGCTCACAGAGAGACTGCCTGTGGACTCCCTCTGGCTCTCAGAAAGGCCTGCTGTTTTAATTTAGAGGGTTTAGCCTCTATGTCTCACAGCTTGGGTGATATTTTTGGTCAAAGCAAATTTGTCTACGTCGTTTTACTTCCTCCACATCTTTGGTAGTTTCCACATATTTTGATTTCTGTCCTATTCCTTCTAAAATCATGGTCCTCCATAATCTCTGAACTTTCTACAGATCATATTTACATTACAGTGTAAAATCACATAATTTGTTTCACTTTTTATTTGTAAATTTTTATTTTTAATGGGAATTTACTGCTGAGCAAAAACGCCAGGTAGATATTAAAACATTCTTATAGTTATATTTAAGGGAATAAAGGAATAAGTGAAACATTTGTGTATGCATGTGTGTGGATATGTTTGAGTATGTGTGCATGTGTGCTTGTATGTATATGTGCATGTGTGTATGTACACATGTGTATGTTCACATGTGTGCATTTGTGGGTATATGTCAATCATGCATCACCTTTCTTCTGGCAGTAATAACAGTAGTAATTTCCCATAAATTACAGTAATTTTTTTTTCTTCTGGTATCTCTCAATTTTACCAGTTGGAGAATAATTTATTTCAGGGCCATCTAACCTGATGTGGGTTAAGTCTTCAAGAAAATATGTTTAATCCAAGATGAGAAAGGAGAATGAATTACTTCCTGTTATAGGATAAACTCACCATGGTCGACTAAGCTAAAATTAAAGAACTCAGAGAATGGAGTGCCTAAGGAAAGAATTGATCCTTGATATTCATTGTACGTATAATTTAATCACTCCCATTCGTATTCCGTTAATACAAATTTTATTACAACTTTCAAACATACTCAGAGAATAGGAAGAGTCAGTGAAAAAGAAGAAAGTATGTATCAAGTATCAATTCAAGTTGCTTCTGAGATAATGAAAAAAAGTAAAATTCACCTTAAATCCCTAAAGTAGTGAAGTGTCTTCTTGCCTCATTGTTCTTTCCTTTGCATCTCAAACCTGAATTCTATGAGAGGCTTACATTTTGTCCCCTTCCAAATAATCCTAGTGAGAGGGAAAATCAGGCAGACTGTTAGCAGGTGATTATATTCAGCTGAGTTCTAAATATTGTAAATGTTTTCTTCTATATTTCACATTTTCCATTCTACTGCTAATAAAATGATAGGGGTCACAAAAATGCCAACTCAAACAGAAAAACTGTCCTCTAACTTTACATTGATAATTCAAAGAATCCAAAGGATTGTATATTGCTTTATCTATTTGGACTGTGTAAGTGTAAAAAAGTTTATTTTCTTGGAAGTTGTCCAATTTTCCATTAGTCTTCTCTCTTTCTCAGCTCTGACCCACTGGCCTTGTGGGTTGCCAGTGGCTCATAATACAACATGCATTTGGCCTTTAAATCTGTCTAAAAAAACCCAGAGTCCCTGAGCTTGCAGAATGGATGGGAAGCACAATTTCATTATATGGAAGTACTGCAAAAGCACCAAAGAAATAAACCAGGAGTATTTTAAATAACCAGGTATTTTCCCAGAGCAATCTCTGGCCCTTTCAATACCAGGCCCCAGAAGAAGGAGCACGTAAATACCATTTCAAGGTAAGTACCAGAGCCTTATTGGTGTGCACAGAGAACTGCAGAAATTTCTATAGCAGAAAGTATCTTGCAGAAGTCCAATGAAAATTCTAACAACCCGAAATCATCATCTGATTTTATTGTCACAACTTTGAGAACCTTAGAATTTTTTTATAGTCAATGATATAAATGTTTGTGGGTATAAACACATAAACATATAAATAACTTTATATATGCATACGTGTATGTGTTTATGCATACGTGTATGTGTTTATATATGCATGTGGCAAAAGGAGATCAATATATTATATATCTAAACCTACTTGTTCTCTTTGGAGAACCTCAGTGGTAAACAGCAAAGTAGTGAAGCTTTCATGATCAGGGGTCCTGTGGCTCCATGGGGAGCCGGCCAATTTGACAGTTGATGAAGCATGGCGGCCGTGCACAGGGGGAGAGGATTACCTGCAAAATTAGAGCCCTAAGTGGGAAGAACTGGCTGTCAATGCTGCAGCAACTTATGTCCTCATTAAGTGCTCGTGAGGTTTTTCACATCTCCGTTCATTTCCTGCTTAATATGCGATTTGGACATTTTGAGGAAGAAATCTAATTTCAAAATTGTCTAAATATGTTTAATGACAACTATCATGCTGCTTGAAAGCACATCACTCTGAGTGACATGTATTGTGTGCACTACTCACTGGTAAACCCAGAAATCTTTTTTTCTGTGAGAATTTGTTTTCAGCAGAAAATATTATACTGTTTTTGAATAACTAGTAGTTATATGCTATGCAAACTGTATGCTACATAAACTATATATTGTATAAATTAACTGTCACACAAATTCGGTGCTGCACATTTAGGGCAAATTAATATGACTAACTAAATTTTTCTATTTGCCTTGTGGAATAAAAACTCAAACATATAGAAACATTTCTCCCTAGGTTTTCCCTCTCTGCATAAATTTGTAAAGTTATTTTCTTTATTCTAGCGCCCTTCAGGTTCATATGTTTCAACACCAGACACAGTGCTTATCAGACTGAGGGAGGTTCCACTGAAACGCCACTGGGATGTGCTTGTAGCTCTGGTGGGTGGATGAGAAGGAACTGCACATGGGGATCTCTGGCCCCACTCACTCTTAGTAAGTGATTTACTCTTCGGACAGTCAGAGAAATTCACCCATCGAAATCCAATGAGAAAAACCTACGGTGGTGGTAACCAAATGCTGAATTGGAAATCATGGCTCAAATTCCCACTGTAAGTTACCAGCAAAGAAAAGTAAGTTACATGTTGTTCCATTTATATATATTTATATATTTTTCTACCTCTATCAGTCAACAAACATTTATTACCACTCTGTGAAAGGCCCTGTATTTGTAGGAGATACAGAGAAGCATAGAAAAAGCCCTTGTTATCATGGAATTTGTGAACTAGGTAAGAAGATACAGCGGCAGCCCCAGGCCCATGTCAAGGTCTGTAAACGTCCCTTCTGGTGACCTACAGCCCCGCACACACGTGGAGTATTTACAGTGTAGTAACGAGCTAGGGTAAAGCTGTATGTAACTTGTAAATAGCAAATAAATGATGTAATTAGTGTTATGTTATCGCAGAGCTGTGAGTAACAACCAAATTAGTGGATGTACAAGGTCAGACGTGAGCTAGGCTCTGTGGAATGTGTGGGGCCGATTTAAAGGTAAAGGCCCCTCAAATGTCCTCTGACGTCACTGTGCTGGCTCTGTCAACACTGTTCACCGCAGGTGTATATGTTTCTAGAGCAGCCTTTTGGGTATTATTCCAGAATGGCTTTTTTTCAGGAAGGTGAACTGAAATAACAATGGTTGCTTTTCAGTTTTATGCAATGTATCATTTTTCATACGATGATTCTTTGTGTTCTTCCTACACAACGTGGCTATTCACCAAAGGAAGGTGGGCTGAGCAGAGGCAGCCCACAGGGCCCAGTTCATGAAGCTTGGCAAGGATAGGAAAGTGAATTTCAATGTTTAGTAGCTAGAAACTTGTCCGCCAAATTTCCCAAACTCCCTAAAAGGAGCTGTTGTAGGGACCACACAGCTGCCTTCCAAGGCTCGTGAGTGAGGGTCCAGTGCTCAGAGTCTGTAGGGACCCATCTGTAGCACACGCTTCTCGCCTTCCCCTGGGCTGTCCTCTGCTCCACCTGGACTCTGCTTTTCTTCCAACACTTCCAAAGCAGTCCAGCCTTGGAGCCTATGCACCACAGTCACCTCTGCCTAGGAGGCTTTCCTCAAGGCATCCTCAGTTCTCATTACCGTCTTCCTTCAGCTTGGCTAAAACATCACCTCCCCAGAGACAACTTGTTTTACCATCATTTCAAAAACAGCGAAGGGCACATCTGCCTTTTGTCCACCACTTTTCCTCCATGACACATGTTGAATCCTGACTTGTATTTTTATCTTGTTTCTGTATTTACTCTTCTTCCCACTACCATCACCTACCACCCCCAACATACACACACAACATGAAGCCTTTGAGGTCAGAGATTCTGTTTTCCATTGCCTTTTGCTCAACACCTAAAATATTGCCTGGCACTCACTGAGCTCTTGAAAATATCTGTTGAACAAATGAACCACAGACCAGTAGGAATCACAAAACAAGTGCACTGTGTGGGTGTAATATTTCCAAAGCATTTCAATACTCCACATCAGAAACTAGAAAATTAGACAAATGATGCTAGTGCCACTTGCAGGTATCTCATGGTGAGATACTTACTTGAAATCTGTGAAAGGCACAGCAGATTCAACCCTTTTAGTACTTTGCAGGACTGTGGTTGGTTTATTGTGCTGTGTGTGTTGTTCTCAGTGATGCTGCACTGCATACAAGCATGCATCTAAAGTAACCCTAGTGCATATATACAGAGGGCTTTTTGTTGCTGTTGTTGACTATGTGGAGATGACTTTAAAATTGGATCCATCTATTATTTATATCAAAAAACAGTTGTTCTTCTCTCTAATGCCTTCCTGGCTTTTCAGGACCACTTAGATTTCTGAGATTTCCCTCAGGAAATCTAAGTCTCCCTGGAGATTTCTAAGTCTCCCTGCATGCTTTGCCATTTTGGGTCCATTCTTCCTGTTGCTTTGACTATCAGTGGTTATTCTTCCAATGAAAGATCATTTGGTAGACATTTCTGTGAAATGTTTTTCATCATACTGTAAATAGTCACATCTGGCTTTTTGTCTCCTGACTGCTACTCTTTTTTTTTTCTCCTGTTCTTTTTTTTAATGTAAACAATAACATCTATATATTTACTAGATAATAACATGCGGGCATCATTGTTTACATTAAAATAAAATCAAATGTCTACATGGAATGCCAGGGATTCCTTAAAGTAAAATTATATTATTGTATTCATATATTCATCCGTTTGCTCAACAAACATTGACAATGTCTCTGGCATGAGTCATGCACTATGGTCAGTGCTGATGCCTGAGCATGGGTAAGATGCAATAACCACTGCGAAGCAAACCTCTGTCTGAGTGTGAGTGGAACTATGTTGTTCTAATTTTCCTCTTTATTGCAATGTCCCAAGCAGAACAGTCCTGGAGACAAAGTAGTCCTTAAATCAGCCTTCTATTGCCCTCTTGAGAGCCCCTCAAGCCAGAAGACAATCCTCTCATGCAGCCACATTATGACTTTAGATTTGTGTCTCTTTTTAGCCCCTGCTCAGTATTGTCCCATGCAGGCTTTCAAAGTTACACAAACACTCCTTTCAGCCATCTGCTAAGGTTATAAGGCAATGTAACAATTCGTTCATGTAGTAACTATCAAAGATGGTTGTGTTACAGATGTAACTATTAATACTATTAAGAATTCCCTGTGGTGCTCTGCACTGTCCCCACTAATACTCTTCTAGTGATGGAAATTTGAGGGCTTCTGGAAGACTTTCAATAAAATAATTTCAGATGAGGGGAGTCCTGTCTTGAGCACAGTTTATCCCTCAGCCCCATAGTGGTAATCTGTCTTTGTGAACCAAGTAAGTTCGTTCTCATTGAAAATCTGAAGTCAAATGGGTAGTATTTTGTTCCTAATAGTTGTTCCAAAAGACATTGTCTATCAATAGCCTCACCTATCTCATCTATAATGATGTTTCCTCCTCTCTTTAGAGCATCATATAATGTCTTTCTTCAGTTTCAAAGAGACAGAAAGATTACTGAGATTGCCTTCAAGTCCAATAGCAATAAACATCAACAACAACAACAAAAAACAAGAATATATAAGTGTGGCTTCCCTGCTCATGCAAAACCCATAGAATAAAGAAGAAATTAAAGCTTTCAAAAAGAAAGGTAAGTGAGTAACTAACTCACTCCCCAGGTCTGTGCACAGCTGGTCTCTTATCATATGTGTGGTGCTCAGACAAGTGCCGGTGAATTCTGAAATACTAGAAAGCCTCACTGTCCTTCATCCTCCACACCTCCTCTAAATGAAATCTAAAATTCATTCCTTCATCCCAATCATTCACTTCCTGTAAAAAATCCACATGCACCCAGAAAGCATGAAACGTGGATGTCAGGTGGCCTTCATACTTCAGTGTGAATTAAAGAGTTGATTAAAATTTTAACAAAAAAAAAAGACTAATTGAGGGGCCACTGGCCATTTCACAGAAGGATACCCCTGGTAATAAAGAAGCTGAGGATATAACGATAAAGGAATTTCAAGACAAAACACACAGAAAAGTTGCTGCAGACCTATCTAGCTCATTTGAACAACATCTCAAAGATCATATTAAATGGCGAGTAGAACGAATTTAACTACTCACTCAAATGGAAGTTAGCATGGCCCACATTCACATGCTTACACTGCGTTTTCAAAATGATAAAAATATCCCCTATTGTCAAGATATTATTGCTTAAGATCAGAATGGGCAAATGCCCATCAGTCAACTGAAGCACGGTAGCCAAGTGATGATTAGGACCCTAATCCGAACAAGATACATTTTAGCATACATTATTCAGCTACAATGAGTTTTAATACTTATGCATTCTGACTATGATCTGATAAAAGTTTAATGATACATTAGAGTAGATGCTTTAGATTTATTCCTACAGATACCAAAGCAAGCCATGGTTGAAAGAGCATACCCATTACCTTTTTGGGACTTAGAAAGTTTTCCATTACTTATGTTATTATGTCTGTGTTTCTGTAGTTATCAGAGAAGAGTAGTTTCCATCAGAATTGGTTATTTTTATTTTTTGTTGGCTTTAAGAATATTTTACTAATTCACATAGGGATGCGGATAGATATATCGTATAATCTGAACTGTGATTTTTCATGAACTGTTATCATAGAGTCTGACTGCTCATGCTGCAGCTCCATTTCCCACACCATGGCTTAAGTGAATGTAAAACAAACACTTTACGCTCAGCAATTTTCTCTCACAAATCGGTCCAAAGCTATCTCATCAGGAGATATATTGTATTATAGGCTTTAATGTAGACTTCATTCTCCCTCACACACAATCAAGGTAGCTTAGGGAATATTATTTTATCAGGTAAGCTTAGAAGCACTTGGAAACTTGCTCATATTATGCACATATTTGAAATCAACTTGTCAAATCTAAAAGAAAAAGAAAATCTGATGTTTATTTCCTATGAGTAGTCATTTTTAAAAAATTAGTAAGATAGACATTTTTTGGCCTGGATTAGCAATATATTTATCATGGATTTCTATTTCTCTTTGTACTAAATATTTTTAGCACACTTATCTCTAAAATATAATGTAATTTTTAATATTCTGGGAATGAAAGGCACAAATAATGTATATCATATAACATCTCTGTATCTCTGCCAAATTCCTATGATTTGTGTTTGTTCAATGCTGTTTGCTATTTTCTATTTTATAATATTGTTATTTTTATTTTTATTATTATTATTTTTTTTTGAGACAGAGTCTCCCTCTGTCGCCCAGGCTAGAGTGAGTGCCGTGGCGTCAGCCTCGCTCACAGCAACCTCAATCTCCTGGGCTCAGCGATCCTCCTGCCTCAGCCTCCCAAGTAGCTGGGACTACAGGCATGCGCCACCATGCCTGGCTACTTTTTTGTATATATATATTTTAGTTGGTCAATTAATTTCTTTCTATTTTTTGGTAGAGACGGGGTCTCGCTCAGGCTGGTTTTGAACTCCTGACCTTGAGCAATCCGCCCGCCTCGGCCTCCCAAAGTGCTAGGATTATAGGCGTGAGCCACCGCGCCTGGCAATATTGTTATTTTTACATGCATATTTTACATGTATATTTTTATAATATTTCATGAGAGAAGGATCAATGTTTTATTCATCTGGGATCTTTCTATCACAAACAGCATAGCATATAGTCAATAAATACTAAATATATAAATAAATTTATTAAAAATGTTTTTCTGAATAAATACTATGTGCTATGTTCTGAATGAATTAAAAAATACAATATTAAAATTGGAAACTTAATTATGACATTTGTTCACTATCTTGCTTTTGAGTCCATGAACAGAGAATTCATCAGAAGAAGTATATTACAGCAGGTCCTAAGACTCTGACTTGGAGAGTTTCCTCCTCTGAGAACTTTTCTCCCTGAAAATCCACAGCATCCTCCACGAGAGTTACTTAGAGGCCCAATCCAAGTGCTCAGAGGTAGATGTGATTATCTCTCTTAAATGCAGCATGACAGCCATTTTACGTTCCCCTGATGTTTTTGTGAAATTAATTCAAATGGTCTATGAACATATAAGCAAAGCCCAAAGTGGAGGGAGAGAGAGAGAGAAACTTCAATTTATGAAGGAAAATCATGCAAGAGAAAATAGTAAATAGTTTAGGAATATTTAACAACATGTATTCACCTATCTCTTAGAAATCAAACTTGAAAAGGAGAGAAGAAAAACTCTTACATTTTTTAGTTCCAGTGTTTTGGGGAAGGAAATTAACATAATGTTTTGAGATACCTTCATCTCATCAGAAAGACATTCAGGAGAAAAAATGTAGCTTGAATTATTTCTTCTTGTTCATGGATGAAGTCTTTGGCTAAAGGGAAGCAAGAAACAGTGTATCTGATTTTTATTTACACCTCTAACATATCCCTAAGACAACACTGGTGGTGGAGTTGTGAGGTTGAGAAGTGGCTGTGGTGGCGATGCTGAGGGCAGGAATATAGAAAAGCAGGAGGAGGGGGAGGAAGAGAAATAGTTAATATTTAATGAGCACATATTTTCTGAGAGTCATTGCCATGATCATTTGGTCCTCCCTGCAATCCTGGGAGATAGGCACTTACTTTTATTACTCTCCATTAACAAGGAAGTCTTGGGGAGCGTTGAGTAACTTATCCTGGGTCACTTAGCTTGCACTCCTGGTTCTCTAACCTAAACTACAGGCTCCAAATAGCCTTCTGCATTTTTCAGCCTCTCTCATTTTCCCAGCTGGCTTTTATATTTGAAAAGATATGACAAAATGATTTTCATTGAAGTAAATGCCTCTCAACTGCGCTGTCTTCCCTAGGGTGACTTTTAGCACAAAGAAATAAAATTCTAATGATCACATATGTGTCAAGCCTTTAGGAAGATAATCTGTTCAGAGGTACTTCCCAAGAATCAGTAGCTTCACGTTCTAGAAGCAGCTGCCTAATTTTAACGATTCATTGGCTCTTAGACTTTGTAGGCAGAGAATGCTAAACACAGAAACAAACAAAAAATAAACAAACAAACAAACTTACTGGCTTATGATTTCCTAGTCTCCAGTTTCTACTAATTCCTCCTCCAAACACATTTCTCTTCACATGTGAGCCTTTTATTTGATGATGGTGAGGGCGCTGTTGAAGTGAAAGAATTATAGCAGGTAAATCTATCGCATCACTTTCATGGTCCAAGTCAATGCAATTTTCTTCTGGTAAGTTAAAATATTAAATGTAACTACATTTAATTTTTAGTTCTCTTTCATTCCCTACTGCATCATCTTTTATTCAGTTTTTTTTTTTTTACCAGACAAAATAAAATTTACTAGTGAACATAATCTATTAATTCTGTTGGTGATGAAACCATTTAATTTCAAGTGATAAGACAAAATATTAGTCACTGCAATATTTCATACCCTGTAGAATGTTGGGTGAATATTTACATTTATGAATGGTCTTTAGGAAAGTGAACTTAGGGAAATAATAAGCTGCAATTTCATGGTTATTAGAGCTCAATTATTTTCTTCCTTTTTTGGACAGATCTTTTGGTAAAAAGATCAACTAGCCTAACTAAAAAGCTCCATAAATTATATTTTTGGGAGGGAGTGTTTTAAATATGATGAAGACTTCTACCGATTTTTCCTCCTTTACTTTTTGGGGTGAGTGGGGCTGGGGCATACCAACATTCAAAAGTATAATCAACATAACAGCTTTAGTCTCCAATTTATCTTTTGGTTCTAGGATATAAGAAATACAATTTTTTTTTTAAAAAACCCAGACTTATAACTTTCACATAGTAATAATAAACCGTTCAAGTAAGAGTACTGAATACCTTGCCTTGTTCTGTGGCAGCCTGGTATGGATCATTCTCAAATGCAGATGAGGACTCAGTTGGTCTTATTATCCAAAAGAGTGTCCCACTTTAGGAACTTTCCATTCCCATGTGTGCTTTTCTGCTGAGTCAGTGTGAGACCTTAAATAAACCCTTTTATTTTTTTTTTGTACTGTTCAGGTTTCTTCATCTGCAAACACTGAGTACCTGCGTTCCCTCAAAGTAATTCTGAATGAATGTTACTTACTGGAGCCAATGATGTTAGGAGGAATCCTTGTGTTGTAAGTGGTTAAATATTATTTTTGCAGGTTGGTATAACATTGATATTATAATAACCTTAAGAGAAATGAGGAATGGGAAAATGTGGTTCTTTTCATTATTGAGAAGGGGGCTTAGAAGAAGGACACTTTGAGTTGTTTTTCTACATTACTTCTATTCACCTGACAAATGTGAAATCTCCATGGCATCATTCCTGTTCCCAAGGCGAGTTCTAGCTTTAGTTGCATTCTCTTGCCAAAGTAGAACTTGCATCACGGACTTAGGCAAGTGTGGAGCACTTTTCAGAGTAGCACTTAACCTCAGGCGCCTGGAAATGTTGAAACTTGTTTACAGAACTCTAGACTTGTCTCTGGTTTATTAACTCAAGTTATTCCTTAGACCTATAATTAACATCTCACCCACCTGATATTTTCCTCTTGATACAAAGGAATGATTATAGAGCATTATGTGCAACATTATCCCTTTAAATTGGTTCTAAACAAGGATTTAAAAGAAGGTAGAGTTATTTTCATATACATAGGTGATCACACCCATTGTGTGATAAAACTATAGATAATTGTTCGTGATGTGTTTTCATTTCTGTGACTTTTTTCTTTATTATTAGAGAGGTGACATCATTGAGTCTCAAGGGATTTACAGTACTTCTTACTATATAGATAGGTGGATACCTTCTTTCTCAAATAATTCTGGGATCTTTTTACTCTATTAAAATAATTTTTAGATATATTTCTCAAATTCCATGAAAATCTCTTTATTAATTTTGATTGAAACTTCATTAACAATATATCTATGCATTTATTGGTCTTTATTCTTCAGTAAATTTTATATTTGTATTCATAAAGATCTTGAATGTGTTATTTTAAAAAACTTATTCCTAGCTGCTTTAGAGTTTTGGGTAGCTATTGTGGAAGGTTTCCTTGTTTTATTACTTTATTATTATTATATTATATAATTGTTTTATTGGTATGTAGATTTTATATATTAATCTGGCAGCACAAAACTTTTTGAATTTTTCTTTTGTTTTAATTGCTTATTTATATACTCTTAAAAGTTCTATGAAGATAATCATATGAATCTGTAATAATAATTTTTCTTCCTCTGTTAGTTTCTTAGGCTGGTGTGACAAAATGCCACAACTGAGTGGTTTAAAAACAAGACATGTTTATTCTCTCATAGTTCAGGAGGCCAGAGGTCTGACACAGAAGTTCTGGCAAGGTCTAGCTTCTGGTGGTTGCCAGCAATCGTTGGCATTCCTTGGATTTGGCAGCAACATCTTCAACCTCTGCCTCTATCTTCACATGGCCATCTTCCCTCTGTGTGTCTGTGTCCAAATTTCCCTCCTCCTATAAGGATGCTATGGATACCAAACATTAGATTAGGGTCAGCTCTAATGTGTTATGAGCTCATGATTACATCTGCAAGGACCCTGTTTCCAAATAAGGTCATGTTCACAGATTTCAGGTGGACATGAATTTTGGGGGACAAGGGAACACTATTCAACCCAGTAAACCCCAAAACCTGGCTCCCCCAAATTCATGTCCTCCCACATGCAAATACATTTTTACTCCATCCCAATAACTTGAAATTGAGAACATAACCTAAATATTATCCAAAAAGTTTTAACTCTCATCACTTCAATTATCGAAATCAGGTATGAGTGAGACTCTTGATGTGATCCACACTGGGACAGAATTCTTCTGTATCTACAGGGCTGTGAAACTGCACAAAAAGTTATTGGCTTCCAAAATGCAGTGGTGGAATATCTGAGGTTGTCTTTATTTTACCTTCTTTGAAGAATATATTTGTTGGATGTAGAATTGTGGGTTGGTAGGTTCTTTTCTTTCAGCTCTTGTTTCACTGTCTTTTGACATCCAAAATTTTTGACAAGAAATCAGAATACATGTGAATCACTGTTTGCATATGGATAATATGTCATTTTTCTCTGGCTTGTGAACACATTTTTTTCCTTTGGTTTTAAGAATTTTGACTATTGCATGCTTATTCATTTTAATCATACATGCCAAAACTTGAAATTTACTAAGTTTCAATAACCTATAAAGTTATGTCTTTCACCAAATTAAAAACTTTTCAGCCTATATATATATATATATTTTTTTTTTTTTGATAATTCTGTATGTCCTCTTTTCTTTCTCCTCTGCTGTGAAACTCCAATTACATGTATGTTGGAACTTCAGACATTATCTCACAGGCTTGTGAAGACTTTTCACTTTGTTTCTCAATCTATTATCTGTTTTCTTCAGAGTCTTCTGACTGAAAGAGTATTATTGATCTTTCTCCAAGTTTGTTGTCCCCATCATTTGTCAGTTTCATTCTGCTGTTAAGCTCAATCAGTGCATGTTTATTGCATATATTGTACTTTTCCATTCTTGAATTTCCATTTGAAGTTTTTTCTAGTTTCTATTTTTCTGATAAATGAGACTCCCTGCATTTTTATGTATTGAGATCCTATTTCCCTTTATACCACTGAGTGTAGTTAAAATAACATCCTTATGTGCTTATGTCAACACATGTTCATTTTGGTGTTGGTTTCACTGATTTTCTTTTCTCTTGAAAATGGGCTGAATTTCCCTTTTTCTTCACCTATTGACTGAACTTGTATTGTTTCCTGACTATTCATTCTGAAGATGCAGAGACTCTGAATTCTGTTATATTCCTAAATAGAGTGTTGATTTTCTGAATCATAGCAGGCAATCATCTTGGACTCCTAAATATTGTCTTTCACGTACAGCTCAAAATCCATTTCAGAATGCTTTGAGTCTGCCTTGCGTATGCATGGTCCAAGGTCATTTAGTTAATTGACCGAAATTTTATGTAGGATCTGAGCTCCCCCTCTCTGGCTGTCTCCTTTTTGGAATAGCTCTCTCACTTTCTGGTGGCAATGATTATTCCAAACTCTGCTCTCTGGTTCTTTAGGCCAGAAAAAGTATGAGTTTTCTATCAACATTTTACCTGTTAGTACTGACTGCAGCCTGCTCTCAAGCTAAAATCATTAAAAAAACAGGAAAATTGCCCATGCCATTCTTTCTTCCAAATTGTTTCTCTTCTATTATCTTCCAGCTTTGGTTCATTCTCTGCTACCTCCAGGCAGTTGTTTTACAAATTTATCCAAGTGTAAATTTGCTATTTTCAGAAAAATTGGTCTGGCAGGAACATCTCTGGCCATGGCTGAAGTGGAATACATAAAAGTGCTTTTGTATTTTCTTTGGCTAGAGACACTAATGTCTCATCTTCCCCGAGTATATTTTCTCTCCATTTATTAGATTGGGATTTTCACAATCCAATGATAATATTAATTTGGACTACATATCTGTGTGAAGGTCAGACTAGGATTTAATTTGTCTTAAAAAGTACCCCCAACTCAAGAGTGCCATTCAGATGTTCCCTTGCAGTATTTTTTATCCCTATTATGGGACATTTCTCTGGTGCTCTTAAGTCCTCAAATTTTGCAAGCATCAATTTGAAGTTTAAATGTAAGTTTAGGACATTAGTCTCTTCTTGTTGGGAAAATATGATTGAGGAATTAATGAAATGTGGCTCATGTGATCATTATTTTATTGTATAATCCAATATTACTATATTAAAGACAGAAACAGGAGTTTGTAGGGTTTTGCTCTGAAGGAATGTGTGGACTCAATGGTTCACTTATTAGAGGCTGCTATCATGGGAGAGCTCTCAAATCTCTGGTAGGGATGTTTTCCAGGAAGGCTTCCCGGTATCTCAAAATATGTGAGCTTCTCTGTCTTGAAAGACAAGACAAGGCAAATATGGCCCACAGAATGGGAGCTGGAGACAATGAGTGCCCTTTGCCCAGAGATGCGCCCCGGTGATTATAAACAACCTGTTTATTAGAGATGGGCTTCCTGCTCTCTCCTGTCTGTCTACCTTTAAGTCCATAAATAAATATAGACTCTAAATATAGAGTCATTATACTTCTTTTGTTTTACTTTTGTTAATTGACAACTACCTCTTAGAACTTATAAGTTAGCCCCTGAAAGACTTTGTGCCTGTTTATTCACCTAGATAGATTAGATGCCCCTTGAGATGACTTTTGACTGGAACCCACTACCTGTATCCCCTAGCAACTGCATTCCCTGATATGCAAATATGTTACCCTGACAACTGGTAATTGATGTCTGTGATTATAAAAACCTGTATGAATCTAACCATATTGCTGGTGTTTATGGAGATATGCCAGTCTCCTAGGTACCGCTGATGTGTTAAATCTGATCTCTCTCTCTCTCTCTCTCTCTCTCTCTCTATCTATCTATATCTATATCTATATCTATATCTATATATATATATATAAACTATACCTTAGTCTCTGTGTATTCTTTTTTTCTCTCTATTTCCTATCAATTTCCTTATCCTCTGTGGCGACCCTTATCTTAGCGACTTGGCTCTGTGGGGAGAAACAGCTGATCTTCTCATGGGCCTGCCTCAACTCTCACCCCGCATCTTCTCTCCTCTCTTCTATGGGTGTTAAAACGCCACCAACTATACATTCTTCTGCATTTCATACTAAGGAAATTTCCTTACACTTAGTAGGTATGCAGAGTTTTTAAAGGACTGAAAGAAACAGAAAAGTGTTAAACTAGTTATCAAGGTAACTATCTTACATAAGACACTTCCTAACCCTATCCCTAACCCTAAACCTAGCTTTTAAGTTTCAAAGCAGGAAGATAGCCCTACTAATGAAGCCAATCAGAAAGTGATCCGATGACTCTAATTTTCTGAGTGGAGAGCAACAGCTTCTGGACTAGTTAGACAGACAAGCTCCGATCCCAAAGAGTTTATGGTCCTTGCAAAAAATAATGGAGGACTGTACCATGGCAGAATCACACTATTTTGTACACAATCAACTCTCTGAGATAAAAGAATAAACCAGATGGCAACCAAATGTGTATTATAACTCGTTTATGAGACAGTGATAATATTAATATTACTTGTTGCATATGTTGATGCTTTAAAAATGAAATATAATTTTT